GCCTCATCCATGCATGTGGGGGGTTTCGACCCGGTTCCAGGCCGTTGCGGGGGGCTCCAGGGCCTTGCAGGGGCCTCCAAGGGGCTCCAGGGGTTTCAGGGGCTTTCGGGGGGTCCAGGGACCTACAGGGGCCTCCAAAACCCCCAAAAAAGCCAGCAAAAACGCTGTTTCGAAAAATGCGCCCGCCGCGTACCGCCAACCTTGGGCGAGGCTGAAATTTCATGCGGGATGGTCAGGGCTGCAAGGGGCAGTAGAGGGTTTTTATCTGAACGCCATGATTGGATGCCTCGGCGAACTGTATTATCATATCCCCCAAGCCCTAAACCCCGATACCCCTAAACTCCTAAACCTTAAACCCCTAAACCCTAAATCCCCCAAGCCCTAAACCCTAAACCTTCCCAATTCAATAGGCCCGTACAGTAGCGGCTGGCGGGTGTCAAGGCTATCAAGGTTTAGGACGTAGGAGTTTGGGGTTTAAGGCTTTGGGCTTAAGGGGTTTCGGATTTAATGGGTTTAGGGTTTAGGATTTAAGAGGTTTAAGGGGTGTAGGGTTCAAAGGAGCAGGGGATTTAGGGGTTTGGCGGTTTTGAGCGCTAAGGGGTTTACGGGTTTTGAAGGCATTGGGGTTTAGGTTTCTAGGAGCTTAGGGTTTGTGGTAGCCCCCAACCCGCCCCAACCCCCTATGCACCCTAACCCTTAAAGCCCTTAACCCCTCAAGCCTTACACCTAAACTTCTGTAACCTACCCCAAGCCCTAAACCCTAGACCCTCGACCCTAAACTCTAAACCCTACACCCTAAACTCTAAACCCTAAACTCTAGACCCTAAACCCTAAATCCTAAACCCTGTATACTCCCCCAGAACCCTAAACCCTAAAGCCCCCTACTGTCAGGTCACCCCTCCCTGAGCCTCCGGCCCAGCCTTTGTGGGTCGTAGAGGCCGCAACAAGCTCGAGGCCCATAGGGGACTTGGGTTTTTGAGTCTTAGGGGTTTAGGGCTTAGGACTTAGGGTTTAGGGTTTGGGGGATTTTTTGTTTTTGTTTGCTTTTTGCTTGGTCAGTGTGGGGTTCAGGGTTTAGGGTTTGGGCTCTCCATCCTTCTGTTGACTATTTTCAAAGGAAGTGAGGAGCAAACAGTTCGGTGTGTTTGAAAATATCCGTTGAGGATCTCTGGCTGAGGGTTCGGAATGTATGGTTTAGGGTTGTAGGTATTGCGCAGGGCTCCCTACCTTGCATTGCCAGTGCTTATCTTTGCTCATACTGGGGATCCCAGCTAATCCCCTCCCCCCAAAATTACCCGCCCTAAAATTTGAAGATTCCCACAACATGCGGTTTAGCAACAACAGGAATTTCAACGTGGGGGGGGGTCTTGATATTCGGGGGAGGGGAGTATTCTTCCAAACTCATCGTACATGCTGTTGCCGTTTCAGCTCTGTCTCTTTCTGCCCCCTTCCCCGTCGCAGTCCACAGCGCCCATGGCAGAAAATCGTAGCTTCCTTGACGCCGTGCGGGCGCGAGTGGCGGAGTGGAGCTTCTGGGGACAGGCCGCAGTTTGCTTGCCCGGTTTAGGGTTTAGGGTTTGGGGTTTAGGCCCTTTTGAAGGTCCTAGGTTCCTTGTCAAGACCTGGCTATAGCAGAAAGGGGGTGCTTTTAGCCCTATTTTGTGGATCTTAGTTCACCTGCAGCTTGGTAAATTTCAACCTGCAAATTACCCCCTGACCCCTGAATGGCAGGTGGATGAAGGCTAAAGGGACAATGATAGTCCAGACATACGCTACGTGCACCCTAAACGCTACTCCCTAATCCCTAAACCCTCACACGGCCTCCTGTTTGGGACATTGAGGCCTGCATGCTGACGATTGAGGGTTTAGGGAGTACGATTTAGGCTTGAGGGACTGGGGTTTAGGGTGGTTACAGTCCCGTTAAGTAGATAGAATATGGGTTATACGGGGATCTTAGTACAATATACCCAAAGCTATATTCTATCTACTTAAGGGGGACTATTAATGATGTAAAAGGCGTCCAATTTCTAGGAACCGTAGGGATGCGCAATGATACGGAAGAAGAAGACGTGGGCCTTTGCAGGAGTTGAGAAGCTTTCCCATATGAGCTATAGTCTAAACTCCTTAAAGGGATGTTATTTAGGGGATTATATCGGAGAGTAGTATAAGGCTTATTAAGGAGGATACTAGGCGTTCAGAATATGGTTCACATATTTAACGCAATATCAGATGCAAAAGGCAAGGGAACATGAAAGGAACGCGATTATCTAGTGTCTAGGGATGTTACCCCGGCGTTTAGGGTTTAGGAATTTTCCTCCCCAAATAATGGAAAAACGTCGAAGAGACATGATAGTTGGGATTATATGAGCTATAGTCTAAGCTCCTAATATACCCCTTAATAAGCCCTATAGTAGTCCCCTATATAACCCCCTTTAAAGAGTTTAGACCCTAACTCTAAACCCTAAATCCTAATCCCTAAACCCTTTATAATCTCTATAGTAGATCCCTATGGAATCCCCTATATAACCCCCTGTAAAGAGTTTTGACTACAGCTCATATAGGCAGGGGTTCATACTTGGAGGTCCGTTGTACTTATAACCTACTCAATAACTTTAGGTAAAAACAAATTGTAAATCCCATAACTACAGTTACCCTAGATATAATTGGGTTATAGTTACAGTTACTAAGTAGGTTTTAAGTACAACGGACCTTTAAGTAGGGGATCCACATAATCTGCGAGGCGTTGTTTCATGAAGGTCTGGGGCTTTTAGTTTCTGCACCTCCGCTCTGCGGTTTAGGGTGTAGGGTTTAGTGTTTACGGTTTAGGGTTGAGGGTTTAGGATTTAGGGTTTAGGGCTTAGGATTTAGGGTTTAGGGCTTAGGATTTAGGGTTTAGGGTATAGGGTTTAGGATTATGGTACGGTTCGTGTTCTGGGGTTCCTGTTGCAATACGAGTCCCTATATCAATTGTTCCTTTTTTGCAACAGTGCTGTAACCTAGGCCGGGCCCAATGTAGCTTGCGAGGTGAGACATGGATCCCTGTCCGTGGTCACTTAGAACAAAGCATGACAGACCTTGCCCTAAGCATCTACGGCTAGATATTTAAAAGAAAGGAGTTTGGGCCCAAAGACCATACTATATAAGGGTTTCAAGTGATTTTGATGCTTAGGGTTATACTAACTACTACCTAAACCCCAAAAGTAGGTAACATAATAGCCCAAAACCCATAATAACAGCCCTAAAGGCCATTATTCTACATACTTTGGGGGTCCAGGTACTCCCTGATGACCCAAGACCTCATTCTCTATTGAGCGCAGGTTGCTTCGAGGGGGGGGATGAGCATGGCTAAAGCATTCTTTGGACGCTCGCACCCCCAAGATACGAATCATAGGCTTTAGGGTTCAGGGTTTATAAGGTTTAGAGCTTCTGCTCTTATCACTGGCTGAGGGGCTACGGGTTCCATTGTCACCAGAGCTTGACATCAAATCTACCCTAGACCTTGACCCATGATATGAGCTATAGTCTAAACTCCTTGAAGGGGGCTATATAGGGGATTATATAGGGGGCTACTATAGGGCTTATTAAGGGGGATACTAGGCGTTCAGAATATAGCTCATATGCATCCAGGAACCCCGCATGCAACAACGGTTTCCTGTTCATTTTCCAAATTCTTTTCCATGTGTTTCTTTATTCTTGGTAATAAGCCCTAAAAGCCTTCATTAGGGATCAAGGTTTAGGGCAATGCAACTCGAAACGGCCCCTTCGAAGGCCAGTGGTCTTTATGGAACTGATAGGGTCTCTTTTTAGTTCTGGGGGGCTTAGATTTTGGGATTCAGGTTTTCTGGGGTACCTTGGAGCTGTAACTAGCTGTTTCAGAACAGGGGTACCCTAGAGATTTTGGGACATGGGGACGGTGTGGACTTTGTGGAGTAGGGAACCTGCGAAGAATTGCATGGGGAGCATTTTGACAAATGCCGACGCCCTAAACTCTCAACCCTAAACCCTCAGCAGATAAATGCTGCAGAGTTTGGAGTATCTATGCTAGATTTGCCACTTTAGCAGGTCTTGAGATACTTGGAGGGTCAGGGGGACTTAGTAAGTAGGTTACGAAGCTATTCTTGACTCTCCAAGTGGGGAGGATGCTGAAGTCCTTAAGCCCTAAACCCTAAACTCTACAATCCCTGAGCCCTCAATTATGAGCCTTACGCCCTAAACCCTAAACTCTAAAGCCCTAAACCCTAAACCCAAAAACCACCTAAACCCTAAACCCACCAAATCCTTCAATGTACTGAAGTCCAACTTTTTGGCTCCTTCTGCAAGGCCTTCTGGGGAATTTGGCGCTCCAACAACGGCTCAGGGCAGACTCTCGTCACAACACAGGTTGTTTTAAGGGTTCAAGGTTAAAGGTTTAGGGTTTTTAGGATTTAGGGCTCAGATTTCAAGGTTTCAAAGGTGTGGATTGCTACTTGGGGGGGGGGGGTAGTATACTTTAATGCGCTACATCCCATCTGCTTACTACCCGGTTATCCCCACTTTAAAGCTTCTTACTGGGTTCGCCAGACACTCCAAGCAGGCAGCAGGATTTAGGGTGCTTCAGACATTTGAGTTCATGTGCTAAGATTCGGGAACTTTGGTGGGGAATGTTTTGAGAAGTTCGGGATATGCCAGGGGACCCCTCCCCCAACTGTAGACATGCCCATCAGTCGCTTTACGCGGATTGAATACCGATTTTGGCTCAGGGCCTCCTCTGTAGGGTTTGGCTCAGAGGTTTAGGGTTTAGGGTAAGGGTCTTCCCGAAGAAAGTTGGGAAGAAGTGCTCTAGGCATTCTTTTTGGGTTTCTCAATACTTATTACTCACCGAACTCTAATCCCAACCTCGCCCCAAAGGGTGGTCTATTAAAGTCTCAATTCGGCTTGGTTTCAGGCTTTGAAAGGATGGAAATGGTCAGTACCGAGCTCATCATTGCTTGAAGGATTCTAGGCTTCAGTCTCCAAAACTCTTGACACCCAGCCGCTAGACTGCAAGCCTTATATGTACCATAGTCTAAACTCCTTAAAGGGGTTCTATAGGGGATTATCTAGGGAACTTTTTTATAGAGGTTACTAAGGGGGATACTAGGTTTTTTTGATTATATATAGCTCATATCAACCCTTCACCCTACATCTTAAACCCCAACCCCTAGACTCTAGAGCCCTAAGCCCTAAAGTCTAAACCCTAAATCCTAAACCCTAAATCCCTAAACCCTAAATCCCTAAACTGTAAATCCTAGACCTTAAACCCTAAACCCTAAACCTCTAGAACCCTAAACCTTAAATCCTAGACCTTAATCCAAAACCCTAAACATCCCGAGCACTTAGGATGCCGAACCGGGATGCGTTCCAATTCTTCGAGATGACAGGGGCTCTCCTCAGTAGCTTGGTCCGGAGGCAGGGAAGGGAAAGGGGGAAGTCCTTAGGGTTTAAGGATTTAGGTTAGTGTTTAGGGTTTAGGGATTTAGGGTTTCGGGGTTAGGGTTTGGGATTTAGGGTTTAGGGATTAAGGGTTTAGGATAACGGTTTAGGGATTCAGGGTTTATAGGGTTTAGGGTTTGGGTTGAGACAGCAAGCAAATTCTTCAGACGGCAGTAAGATTTGCATGGGTTACTTTTTTTAAGGGGTTGGGTTTAGAGCTAGGTAACTATACTATCCCCCCCCCAAAGTTCCCCCTTCCTGAGGTTTCTTAAGGAAATTTCGGCTTAAGGGGCCAACCTAACCCTAAACCCTAAATAGCAGCTTCCATGTTCTTTTCCACTATCATTATATATATATATATAGATATCACCCCAATATACTAAAGTAGTTTCCGCGTGATTTTCCATTATCCCACATTAGTCTCCCTAGATGAAATCTTGTCCGCGAGCCAGTCCTTTTCGGGAAGAAACGGAGGACATGAGGCACCTCGCCCCCAACCCGTAAACCCTAACCCCCTAAACCCTATAAACCCTTTAATCCCTAAACCCCAACCCCTACACCCCTAAATTGAACCGTAAACCCCCAAACCCTAAACCCCTTCACCCTAAGCCCTAAACCCTCAACCTTTGTGTATGCCCGCCCGAAGCCTTATCTCACTTAGCCAATAGTAGCACTTCAACCTTTTTGGGCTTGCTTTTTTTTGGTCCCTGTGGGTGATTATCAAAGTTATTATGGTCCCCTTTGGGGTCCTTGGCATAATACGGCACCTATTCTTAGGAGACCCTTAAGGGGACCACAATTTTGACAGCCCCCCGACCCCCATAATAAACTTTGAACAGATCCGAATCACTGCATACCCTAGACCCCAAGCCCCAAATCAAAAACCTTAAGCACTATATACTCCGCAGGAAGACAATCAAGCAGGAGCCCCAGGGTGCCATTGCCGCACCTGGGCTGGCACGTGAGGGTGTAGGGTTTACAGGTTTGAGGATTTAGGGGTTAGGGCTTGGTGATTGGCAGGTTTGGGTGGGTAGTGGGGCTTAAGCTGTAGAGTTACGGTTCTAGGGCTTAAGTTTAGGGTCTGAAATGTCAGGTTTTGGGTTCAGGGTCTAGAGTTTAGGGTTTGGCATCTATAGAGTTCAGGGCTCAACGCAAGATTCGAGCCCACATGTATCCCTTAACATAATTACTTGGGATTGTGAGCTTCCTGATGTGATTTTGCAGTTCCCAGGATTTGGCCACAAGGCTTTCGGGTAGTACAGGGACGTAGGGCACAATCATGCTCATTGTTGGAGAGTGTAGGGTTCAGGAGAAGTTAAATAGGAAAGATAACGGACCATCAAATGGGAACTGGGAACGTAGAGGGGTGTATACGGCTTAGGGCTAGAGGAAGTGGAAATAGGGGCCCTCAAAAAGGCCGCACTAGTTTTGACAAACTGAAACCCAAAACCTTAAATCCTAAACCCTCAATCCTAAGTCCTAAACCCTAGACCTTATCTACCATATATGTAAGAAGCACTTGCATGGGAAGTATTGACTGTAGCTAGTACGGGTGAGGGCAGGTTCTAACTGAAAGGAGGGGATTGCTCTTTCGATCTGTTTCCTCCGTTCCTGCGAAGCATTAGGGTTTAGGGTTTAGGGTTTAGGGTTTAAGGTTTAGGGTTTAGGGTTTAGGCCCAGCGCGACGGACTCCAACTTTCGTTTGCCAAGGGTTTAAGGAAAAAAGGGAATATCTCATATAGGGATATATAGGAATTATAGTCCCTTCTTCCCTACTAGCTAAAAGCGAGGCCATGATTATATTCCCATATTCCCTACTAAGCACAAGTAAGGCTATGAGTACGTTTATTTGGAGACATGTACAGTCATAACCCCAGTCTTCAGTCGCTGCTACTGTAGTAAGCCCCACGACCTTCAAGTAGTCGCACCGCACTGGACAAGTGTTAGTTCTGCCACGGATCAAGGAGAAGAGGGTAAGTGCACGCTACGGAAGATGCATCAAACCCCATGTGCGCTCAAGCCGTACCAAAACAAGCGCCAAGAACGACGTGCACGATCCAGCGCGGAAGTCCACCTGTGTAGCTCCAAACCCTGAGACTCTTGCGTTGTAGCTCTAAGCCGCTAAACCCTAAAACCCTAAATCCTAAACCCCAAACCCCAACCCCCTAACACCCTAAACCCCAATCCCCTAGACCCTAAAACCCTGCACCCTTAACCCCGAAACCTGTGAGGCGCAGGCTCTCAATCCGGGATTCCCACACCAGAACGAGGGGTGGATGCTGAAAGGACTGCGATTCAGAGGGTTGAGAGTTTAGGGTTTAGGATTTAGGATTGGGGGTTTAGGATTTAGGGTTGGGGCTTGGGGTTTAGGGCTTAGGCCTTAAGCCCTAAACCCCAAACCTTACAGAGCTTTCGGCTTAGGGGGAAGGTTTCGGGCTTTCATGCTGTTTGGCCAGGCTTTGCTCAGGCTTTGGGATTTTGGGGGTTAGGCTTTGTATTTTAACCGAGGGCTTAGGCTTTGAGTTTCAGATTCACGGATGTAGGGACTGAAGGGGCCTCGGGTTTGGGAGCTCCCAGGGCTTAAGAGTTTTAGGGTCCAGGGTTGAGGATTTAGGGCTTAGGTGCTTGGGCGCGTTTCCTCACATTTAGCAATGGGGAACCCTAAGCCCTAAACCCGGGTATCTGGGTACTGCAGATCCTTGCGAAAGGAGCCTCCAACGCCCATGATGCTGCCCCTTTCACATCCGACCCTCGTCCGACAGTGACTGGGTTGCTGTTCAAGAACTTATAAGTTACTACTCTAAGGACACCCACTATGTATAATATACCCATAATAAGGTAACTGAAGCCCCAAACCCTATTATACACATATTATCAATGGTAACGATATACACATAATATTGTAATTCAAGCCTTAAACCTAAAGGCCTAAACCTTAAGCCCTAAATCCTAGACCCTGGGTCCTTGACAGCAACCCAGGTGAGTCGTGCTTGATGGCTCTCAGCAGCAGCTGCTCGACGAATGCTTCGCCCTTCGATTAGGATCTTAACCCTAAACCTTGGGTTTAGGGTATATATCCTCATCTCTCATTATAGACCCCTATGTATTCCTATGTATCCCAAGGGAGCTACTTATTGGGTACGAGGACCCCTTCCCAAGGATCACTTAGGTGCTGACTGGATAATCTTTACCCTTTTTAGGTGTGTGTACATACATGTTTATTTATCTATGTATCTGTTTGTATTTATAGCCAGATATATATATATAGATATATTTAGGGGTTTAGTAGGGAATAAGGGAAAGTAATCCATATATAGAAGCCCTATTAATTGTATTCCCTTATTCCCTACCCTTAACCCTAAACCCCAAACCCTGGGTACTGCCCCCCCTCGGTAACAGTTGGATAATATTAATAATGTGGTTATATATAGCCCTTAATGGGACCCCTAATATAGACTGTTACTGGGTGGGGACATTACCCAACCCTTAACCCTAAACCCCAAACCCTCAAAGGCGACGATGCCAACTTCTATGTTTTTTCTGGGGAACGCAGTGAGTAGGAGCAGGCGAGGTCCAGGAGCCGTGAGAAATGGGCTCATCAATGGGAGGGTCCCAAGTGAAAGGCTTATTGCTCCGCGTTTCGGGTACCACTATGGGCTATTCGACCTTTAGGGTACCTTAATCTACCCTTAATAGGGTCCTAATAGGGAATTTTAGGGTCTAATAGCCCATGGTGGTAACAACGAGGCAATTTCCTGCAGTCTTGCTTCCGTATTAGTAGATGACATAACATTGTTCTTCGCGATAGGTCTAAAGCCTATCCGCGTAATGGATGCTGTAGGCATAGTAGGCTACTCTGTGTGTAGAACCTGCTCCTGTATTACGCGAAAAGGGAGTGTGTGTAGGCCTTATGGGTTCACATGGAGAACACCCTGCATGACCCGCTGTGATGCGGCGGCATCGTGTGGGTTGTTCTCAGAATCTTGAGCCCATGTTGGTTCTCGAGCATATTACGGCCGAATATTTAGGGATACCTAAATGGAACCCTAATTTTGGGAACTACCCATATGAGCTATAGTCTACACTCCTAGTATCCCCCTTTAATAAGCCTTACAGTGGTCCTGTGTACTATACCTATATAACCCCTGTTAAGGAGTTGAGAATAATTATGGCTTACAAAGGTCATATTTCCTTTATGGAGCATGATGTTAAATCGCTGGGACTTCACAATCAAGACTGCAAGCCAGGACTGGTTGACTCAGAACCCTAAACCCCAAAGCCCTAAACCCGAAGCCCTAACTCCTAAACCCCAAACCCAAAAACCGCTAAACCCCAAACCCTAAGCCCACCTAAACCCCAAACCCAAAACCGCCAAATCCTAAACCCAAAACCCCTAAACCCGAAACACTAAACCCCCAAAATCTAAATCCTAGACCCTAGACCCTCACTTGGTGAAGATTTCTCTGCTAGTAGCATTGGCTCCTGGATCTGCACACAATCAAACTGGGGAGGGAAACCCGCGCGGCAGATTTTAGGGTTTAGGGTTTAGGATTTAGGGTTAAGGGTTAAAGGTTTAGGGTTAAGGGTTTAGGGTTTGGGGTTTAAGGTTTAGGGTTAAAGGTTTAGGGTTTGGGATTTAGCGGTTAGGGTTAAAGGTTAAAGGCTTGGGTTTTGGGGTGTAGGGTTTAGGGTATGGGGTTTAGGGGTTAGGATTTAGGTTGTAAGTTACCATAAAGCGGGTATAGAGTAATTAGATAGCTGGGAGTCGACCACTCTACGTGCATAGCCTCTTTATTCCTTCGTATCTCATCCTAAGAGATTCTGATAAAGCTTAAAGCCGACTGGTTTCGTATGCTGTTGCTGAGCAAGCTTTCAGGACTAAGCTTACAGCCCACTAGGGTTTTTAGGGTTTAGGGTTTCAGGGTTAAGGGTTTTTAGGGTTTTCAAGGTTTAGGGTTTACGGTTTAGGGCCTGCAAAAAAATGACCACCATGAGGGTAGTTTGCGACAGGATGCCCGTTTCAAATTACGCCACCCTTCCTGGAACTCCTGAGAAAAAACCGTTATCCCTAAAACCTATCCTAAAGCCTTAAGCCTCATACTCGAACTCCTATACCCTAAACCCTAAGCCCTAAACCCCTAACCCTAAACCCTACAGACCCAGAACCCTAAACCCTAAACTCTAAGCTCTAAATCCTAAACCCTAAACTCTAAGCCCTAAACCCTAAGCCCTAGACCCCATGCCCCCATCCCCAAAGGCAGGCTATAGAGGTTACAGCCGCGAGTTTCCTTGAGTTCCCCTGCTGTGCTTGTGCACCCTGCCGACGATTCAACGTGGGTAGGTTCTAAGGGGTTTGGGGTTCTAAGGGATTTGTAGGGTTTAGGGTTTAGGATTTAGGGTTTAGGGTTGTTAGGGTCTAGGGTTGAGGGTTTGGGGTTCAGGGTTTAGGATTTAGGGTTTAGGGTCAGTCTCCTTGCGAAGTGTTTTAAAATGTTTTAGGGCTTAGGGTGTAGAATCTTTGAAGGGACCTTGTGTTCCTCTGAGAAGGAATTGCTGTAAGATCTTAGTTGGAAATAACCCGGGGTTACTTTAGAATCTACCCGCCTGTCGACTGCCCACATTGCTAGTGGGCTTCTACTTGTACAGCAGAACGGGTTGTGAAAGATACAGCTCGGGCTACTGTAGACCCGTGATCAATAAACTCCCTCTTTTTATGGGCCTTGATATTAGGCCCTAGACCCTAAACCCTAAACCTCTTAAGAGGAGGGGGTTTATTCATCAGGGATCTACATTGTGACTTTTTTAAAAGTCGCGTGGGCGTGTGCCCGGCTAGGAACATAAAATATCAGCATACTGCCACGTGGAACAGCCCTCGAAGAGTGGTGTCTGTCTTGGTGAAACATGCCCAGCAACAAGTCATTAGATCCTAGACCCTAAAACCTGTAAACCCT